GATATTTTTCGAGCGGAGCCAATTTTGAACATCAACTTTCCTTGAAGCCGTTGTTGGGACCTTCTCCATTCTTCGAGAATGATAAGGCGCATTATCCAACACAATTACTGCGTTTTCCTCTAAGTTCGGTAAAATTTTTGAAAACCACTGTTCAAACGATTCGCCATTCATTTCCTCGTGGTAATCTCCAGTTTTCTTAGACTCAAAGCACCACAGACCGTCAACAACAAATCCATCCTCACTGCCAATATGGCAGATAATGAGCCTTTTCCCTTTACCTGGAAATCGAAGTACTAACTGGTGTAGATTTATTTCAATAAGCGAACCTTTTTCAAATGTTTTCATCACATTCAGCGAAAAAACATTGAGACATGAGTATCAGATTGCTATAATTGGGATTATTTAGTCATATTGAAAGAAAGAATATTGAACGTCGTATGATTACTCAGCGCTTCACAATTTAATTTAAAGTTATAAACCTTTAACAAATGACTGATCAGGAACCTGAAATACGCGCAAATATTAATATTAACAAGTTATAACTTTATAAAGCTTAAAGTATGAATTAAAATGATTAGAAATATTAGGAACGGTACACAATATAAAACTTAGTAACTTTTTTTAAGTTTATAATATTCGACATATTTTAAGATTATATTAAAAAATTATTGAAATATCGAAAACACATAAAAACATGGCTTAAAAAAGTTCTAACAAATGAAAATGACAATAAAACATCCACGCATTTTATCGAAAGTTATAAAAGTTTTGTTACTTGTAATATGTTTTATCTGCCCCCTGGAATTAATGTTTAGAACCTTGTTCCCAAGGTTTGAAAAACATCCGATTGTTGTCTATTACTCGTATTTACCTGCTGGATTTTTTAATCCGGTGGACAGTCCATCTAGAAACGCCCTCCTGGATGAAGTTACAGAATCATCAACCCATACTTTACTTGTAGTGTGTCCTGCGTTTACCCACGTTTCATCAAGGTAATAAATCTTCCTGTTTTGATTTCTATATTTCCCAATTTTTGTTAAATAATCCCTCCTCCATAGCACAATTTCTTCTCTATCCAGTAGTAAACTATTACGACCCCGTTTTTGCCATTTGAAATTTAAATGCTTCAGTAACGCATGGAATGTTGATCGTTTGAAATTTGGCAACGTTGTATCTCCATTTACCTCCTGCAGTACTTTATCTATAGTAGGTATTTCATTCCTAAAGAAGAATTCATGCACTTTCCTTTAACAATATTTTTGCGATGTTTACTGGTCATTGGCTCAGAAAAGGTGTGATTTTTTTTGTATTGTCTTAACACATTAAACACTGATGCGCGACGCACCCCAACTTTGTGAGAAACCTTCACAACAATTTCTTTGATGGTTGATGCCTCGTTCTCCTCGCGCTCGATCTTATATATATATTCAAAATGACCTCTTTCATTTCTGCACTCAGGTGTCTTTTTTTAGAGCGTTTCCTAGGTGGACTACAGGAGTTTACAACTTCATCGGCAGTATCTGTACTACTGGGCATTTTGCGCAAGCAGTTGATAACAATAACAATCAATAACAAGGTATAACAATAACAACGACAAACTCAACAACTTAATAAGATAACAAACGAAAACGTCCAAAGAAATATCAAATTGCAATGATGCACACGACATACGTAACACGTCTGAACCTGAATGTGACTCTGCCTTGATACGACTGCTCTGCCACTCGGCATAGGCATTTAATTGCGAATTGACCTGTTTTACGTCGAGACGGCGGCGTTAGCGTGAAAATCACCCGAACCTTTTGTTTACATCCGGTCTATCTCTTATCTGAATATACTGTAGATACTCAATTTTGCTGCCACTTGACCGACTTTGTATCTCTTACCGTTTGGGAGATCCCAATGGTGAGTGTAAAATTTGACATAGGTATAACTTTACATTACATATGTATTACATATGAAGTACATGTCTAATACCAGATTTTTTTTGCCCACATTAATGCTACGTGGAGCTCAATTTGCGGTAACATTTCTCCAGTATCCTGTTATAATTAAATAGAAAATAAGTGCGCGGTTTAAAGATAATATGGGAAAATAACCGCAGCGCATTCAGAGGCTATTAACATATCTGACATATCGGAAATCAATTTTGCTATATATAAATTATACAAAACGAATTATGCCTATATAAGGAGGTTATTATCGAGAAATAACTGACATTTTGTACCAATAATTTATGTGGCATATTTTGATCAAGATTGCATTTCTGTTAGAAATTACGTAAATAGATATCCCATGGGAAAACGAAGAATTGTCACTCAATGTATGTATAATTATAGTTCGCGATTTGGAACGACTAGTAAACAGGGGAATAATAGCAAAAATGTCTAATTTGTGATAGTGAGTGTTCTTTTAATAATCCAAAACCTTCTGATAATCACGGTTTTGAGATCGTAGCACAACTAAGAGTTGACATTTCCCAAGTACTATCCGAAAATAATTATTATTCCAAAATAGAACTAAGCAGAGTACAATATTATAAACGTAGTCTATGGATATGGATCGTAAAATAAAAATAAAAAGTTCATAGCTATAAAGTTTGTTCACTGTTTCAACTATCATAATTCATTTTGAAGCTATTGACTGACGTAGCATTAAATACACTCTACGTCTATGGTAAACTGAAAATGCGTTTGGCGATAAACCACTGTCGTTCTAGTTGGCTCCTCTTGCAGATTGCTGTGCGGCAGCTAGTGCTTCTATCATGCCGTGAAGTATTCTAAAGGTAACTAAAATAACTTGAGGCGATCTTCATAGTTTGGTCTGCGAGCTCCAATTGGGATTTGAGTTGCCCGACGCTATACTGCTTCAAGGAGATTTCTGTCGCACATAAGCACAGTTACCCACACAGGGTCTGCAAATTCAGGAATTGGCATCACAAATGCCATGTAAATGAAGACGCAAGTGTGGCATCAGATCCTTTGAAAGACCTCTCCAGCATGTATAGAAGCTTTTTGGTGAATATGCTCCGACCAGGATAAAGGATCGTTGACTACAACGCCAAGATCTGAATGACTAGAGACTGCTTCGATGGTGCGATCAGAGGTCTTGTATACGAGGCGCGGATTGGTTTTCCCGAGGTGTAAGTCACAACACTTTAAAAGGTTCAAGGGTAGGAGTTAACTGGCTGTCCATTGACGAACAGTCTCAAGATCTCGGAGAAGCAGAGCACAGTTTGTAACGGTGTTGTAAATATTCGTGACGTCCGCATAAGCAGAACATGTGGAAGATAACAAAGCGGACAGGTTACTTGTGGACAAAAGGAAAAGCATGGGACCCAAGATTGAGCCTTGGGTGAAATCCGCTTTCCACACGATGGAGGGAACACTGGCTATCACTGACGCGTACAGAAAAAGTTCTATCGCTGAGGAAAGCCTCGATCCACTGCAACAACTCGCCTGGTCCAATTAATTGACTTATAAAATCGTGGGATCTCACCTCTATGTTTTATTTTTTGGGAAATGTCAAATAGTCGGTATGATAGAAACAAAAAATGTTCCAAACAGATGGCGTCGGCAGTGTTTGTATCTTAGAATTGTAAAGTCTTATTCACAGTCACAGTAAGAGTCGCTCAAGACTGCTGGACACTGTTCTTGTTGGAAATAACTTGACGGCTATTCGACTTCAACTCAATTTTGAAATCAGCTGCGTTGCTTTTAAGTTTTTATGGAAAGCAACTGCTAAGAAATGGACCACCCCGTTTTGTCGCTGTGGATGAAGTCACTCTCTAACATATGTACCATGAGAGCCAATATTTTTTTACACCGAAGTATACGGCTCTGTGGCAGAACTCGGCCATCCATCGAAACCGGATGAACGCTGTGACGCTTTTTGTTCGTCAAAGTACAGCATTGTGTTTTGGAAGCATTGAACTACGAGTATACAAGATTGTTGCGTCCCCAAGCAGAGATAGCCTCCAGGTCTCTCGTCACAGAAGATGTCGCTGCTAGTCTTCTTTTTTCCAGATGACTGACAGAGATCGGCTTGTTGCTCTGAATTCCTGCATATAGAATGCTGTCATCAGCAAAGCTGCGGATTGAGTTGATCGTACAGGAAAGGACGTCGTTGATATGTAAGAGGAATGATGTCGGAACCAAGACCGATCGATGGGGAACACCCGCGTTGACGTTGTGGGATGAATAAGAGAATCCGTCGATTACGAAGGATATCTTGCGGCTAGAGAAAAAGTCAGTAACCCATCTGCAAAGCTTCTCTGGGAGGCCATAGGATGAATGTTTGCATAAGAGGGCAGGGCCACAGCTCATCGAACGCTTTCGTGATATCAAGAGCACCGACATCAGCCTAGCCAAAAGACTGGATGAGTTTAGATCGCTGGTGCCGGAAACCATACGGCCTGTAGCTAATCAAGCCGTGACATAGTAGTCGTAGTAGACGAGGTAGTCCAGAAGCTCTAGGTTTATGAGCCTGTCCATTACCCTACTTGTAACGGAAAGCAGAGAAAGACTGACTGCCATTGCGCTTTTTCTGGGCTCTGGCTATATCTCGGCAACCGCTCAACCCAAAACTATATTTTAAGAAAATTATAATGAAAGTGGTCAGCTCCCTAAAATGGTTATCATTTTGAAAAAATTCATAACTAACATACTCTTTAAATAGCTTTATCGTGTTGACATCTAAATTTCCGAAGTTTTTTGTTTATGTTAATTTCACCTATTTTTGTTACCTTAGGATGAGGGTAAGGAGTAAATATCATTTCAGAAAAAGTCACATAACTTCTGTTAGTGTAGGGCGATTTTAATTATTTTGGTTTCGCTTAAAAAAGTATCCATCTTCCCTCCTAATGGATGTTCAATCCTCATATTAGTTCAGGTTGTGGTCGCAAGATGGCACTTTGTGGATGTGTCAGCATTTTTGTTGGATTTTTTCGAAAATTTCATACACAATGATATATTTTTTTATATTGATTTGAATTTCTGCAGCGACTAGAACATGATTTCCCGCACTTTCCGTCGTCGATTGTGATCTATCATGTTATGCAAACCTTCTCACCCTTGTTGGGAATTGACGTGATTAATAGTCAGCCCTTCAGGGATAGTTTTAGGTAAATTGCCCAAGGAAAGGTTGTTAATGTACTATTCATCAAAAGGGATTTTCCAGAAATAGCCCACAGTCCAATTTCAGCATTAGCTATGCTGTGGGCAGTAACCGAAACGATACAGAGTATCTCATTACGAAACTTTCCATATGTTTCCGTATTACAATACAAATAGGATCATAATTTCACTGTTATTTATACTGTTCCAGAGCAAAAGCACGTATTTGTAAAATAGAGCAGCCACTCTGAAGATAAAGACCATTAAATTCGTACGCGCGTTAACTTTGGGCACCTAAATTTTATAAATATATGATACCCTCGTAATGGAATCTAATCTAATGCTAAAAAGCGAGTGTATACAAACAATAATACTGACCAACACGCTTTAACATAACTCAGCACGCCATTAGTCTGCTAGATCGACTTGTCAAGCCTTTAAGCTCGATCTGCTACTTTAGAAACTAGCTCGCATAACCGCTCCATCGTTCCTAAACCAAAAGTACGAAATTCTTGGCAGTGACTCATCTATGCTGCCGAAAAGGCGCAGTTGGCAGATTTCAAAAACGGATTTACCTATCCATTTAAAAAACTATAATTGTGATATAAAACTAGTAAGAACTAAGAAACGTATATTCAGATGGATAAATGGTACTAGGACTATGAATGTGACACAATGTAAAATTTCTACTCTGACTGACGAGAGAGGGGTTCGTGAGTCATCAGTTTGGTAGTTTCGAACGTGGAATTGCCGACTATAAGAACAACATGACAACTCCGTCAGGTATCGGGCAGCCGATGATCGCGATTGGTGTATATCTCCGTTGTCCCTACCCCACTGCTAACATGACAACTCGCGGGTCATTCCAGCGGCGTAGCCTAAGGAGAATAGTTCGAACGCGATTAAATAGTTATTGAGAATAGACGAGACAACGGATGGGCAAAGTGAAAGTTTGACACCAAAAATAAAAATGTAGAACCTTTTCTAATGGGGAGAGAGAGTTAATACACAACGTTTACGGCGGACTTCGTGCGCGAAACAAAACATTAGTTGTTCCGGATGCCGTTTTACTTTGTAGCATCTTAACAAAAGTATCTGAAAGAACAATTTTTCAGATAATCAATAGAAAAACTTCAACTAACCGAGAACAACATCCGACGACTAGTGGTAGTACGACGGGAAGGAAGAAAATCGTTCTGGATAAAGATACCAAATATGCTGTATCCGAATGTGTGGGCATGTGTATCTACTTTTGTAGTTTCATAGGCGCATTCATTTCGTGCCTGATGAAGCCACCAGCAGAAATACGTATCGCTCGGGTTACCTATCCTATTTTCTGCTCGAATCCACTTTCCTCCTTTTTGCGGATTTTGCCCATTATTTTCCTACTTTTTCTTATATACCTTTCTCCGCATGATCATTTTCTCTTTGTAGATCCTCTGGGCTTGAAGTACCACAGCCAGTGGCTATAACCGGCCGCGTAGTTGTGGTTAGATGTCTCCTTGAAAATTCGAGGTCTTCTGACCGTTTTATACTACAATGTGTAGGTTGGCTCTTGTTGTGGACTTCGTGTGTCGTTTTTTTTTCTCTCTCCATCTTTGTTTCCTCAGGTTACACCCGTATCCGGATGTGTGGGCATGTGTATCTACTTTTGTAGTTTCATATGTGCATTCATTTCGGGCCTGATGAAGCCAACCAGCAGAAATACGTATCGCTCGGGTTACCTATCCTATTTTCTGCTCGAATCCACTTTCCTCCTTTTTGCGGATTTTGCCCATTATTTTCCTACTTTTTGTTATATACCTTTCTCCGCATGATCATTTTCTCTTTGTAGATCCTTTGGGCTTGAAGTACCACAGCAAGTGGCTATAACCGGCCGCGTAGTTGTGGTTAGATGTCTTCATGAAAATTCGAGGTGTCCTAGCCGTATTATACTACAATGTGTAGGTTGGCTCTTGTTGTAGACTTCGTGTGTCGTTTTTTTTCTCTCTCCATCTTTGTTTCCTCAGGTTACACCAGTATCCGGATGTGTGGGCATGTGTATCTACTTTTGTAGTTTCATATGTGCATTCATTTCGGGCCTGATTAAGCCAACCAGCAGAAATACGTATCGCTCGGGTTACCTATCCTATTTTCTGCTCGAATTCACTTTCCTCCCTTTTGCGGATTTTGCCCATTATTTTCCTACTTTTTGTTATATACCTTTCTACACATGATAATTTTCTCTATATATATATCGTCGCTGTTCTGACAAATGGACGTAAGCGCCAATAACATAATTTTACAGTAGAGCGATTTTAGGAAAATATGTATCTTAGATGTGTTGATGATTCTGTAACTAGCAACGATATTTTTTTACAATTTTGTATCAAAGTGAATCATCAGGGACACTTTCAATCTGTCATAACGTGATTGCAAAGCTCGCACGATATTGTCCTACAAAATGGCCACTTTGGACATACGCCCGTTCGTCAGAGTTACTTTACAGAGGTATGTCACTTACGCCCTTTTTCATTAGTAATTTTAAACATACACAACGGTTCCTATCATTAACGACATTTTTATTTAAACAAAGAAAACTTCGAAATATAGAAATTAAACAGAGGATGTATGCAAATTATAAAAAACTGAGGTGTTTAATGATGCGGGAGGTTCTTGAAGTATTGTTGAAACGTTAGATCTCGCACTATGGGTGTAGGTCCAGTACATAGCTCAACAAGGTTTTCGTATTTCAGGCTGTCTAATTTAATTGGACCATTATTAAATCTACATACGCGCTGTTTCAGGACTTCAAGGGTGTTTCTTTTCAGAGATAATGTGTTATACTGATCAGCAAGATGGCTGGCTTTTAGAAACAGTTGTGGAACATCTTTCTTTACCATTACTTCCTTGATTGCGGTGAAATTAACATCAGCCACAAACTTGTAATCCAGTAAGTCAGCATTATCCATAGGGATGACAGTGTATGGAGAATTCCGTCTTGCCAATTTAAGAATAGGAGGAAGCTGAGCAGGAATAAAGACATCTCCTGCTAAGGTTAAAGCTGTCGAAATAGAACTGTGGGAAGAGTCGCCCTCGCTTTGGCCATGATTTGTTTCGAAGAAAGATTGATATTTTTTTAATGTTTTTGGTATTCTCTGCAATGTGTGCAACAAAAGAATCTTCGAGTTTGGCCTTCGTTTCCGTGCTGCCTTCTTTATAGGACGAACAAAGGCTACACTGGTCTTTCTTTGGATGATGGAAAGAAAGATTCAATGACTTGAATACCCTTCGATAGGCGTGATACCTACACTGTGGCTGACGTCCCTCAATAATACATTTTCTTAATAGTTAGATCTGGATGCAAATACTCCCTGGTGGTGGACTGTCTGCAAAAGTGTGATTCGTGTGATCCGAGGAAATAGTTGAATATGGGCTAATACAGCAGACCGAGTAGCGCATCTTTTTCACGCAAACTGGCGTGTCGACCACCACGTGCATCAGGACGTACTATCCCTTCATCATTTAATTTATTTAGCGCCGACCGCATGGTTTTTTCAGAAATTCCGAGCGTGTTTAAAAACATAGTTTTACAAACAGTTGTTATGTATTTGCATTCGCAAGACGATAAGTAAATGTTCTTGTTCTACGTGAAACAATGTTGCTTGTTCGCTTTCTTTTAATATTGTGAGCTGTAACATGACGCGCAACAAACTCCCTCTGTAACTGAAGGCTTTTTGTTTCATAGAAAGCAGCAAAAATCTTTTGCCTATGTTCTTCCGTGATTAAGCTGCACTCTTGTTTACACTTCTTTGTGTCACATCGCGGGTTTATTAATTTCGGTGGCATAAGTTTTTTTGAAGTTGAACTCACGTAAGCTTTCCCCTCACTTTTTTGCGCATGTGCTATTGCCTTTTTGTTTCCTTTTTTTGTCTTAGAAAACGCACCTCTCTTTGCACATCATCTACGGCATACTTAGCAGCTAAGCGATCGCGCTCGATCTCTGCCTTACCCTTTCCGTTTTCAGAATCAGATGAGTAAATATCATCGTGATATTTGTAGTCGCTATTGTTATTGAAATGATCCCAGGACAACAATGCAGGACAGCGGTGACAAGCAGCAAATATTTCCTGTTTGGAATTTTTAAAATTACAGGTTTGGGTATAAGTGGGGTCGTGATTACTGCTCTCAGAACATTCAAAAGGATCAACAGCTTCAGGTTGATCTGGAGAGTTGTTCTCTAGGACCTGGTGGAACCTCGTCTTGTAAATCAATATTTTTTATTGGGCACACTGATTTTGGTGAAATAGAAGGCTCCTTATTTTCTTCGATAGCCTTCCTTAAAACACTGAGTGGAATATTGTCATCGTCTGAATCGTTGCTTTCCAGCTGATGTATTTTCTGCATCTTTTCTGATGGATTGGAAATAACACGTGCCTTCTTATGCTTCCGCTTCAATTCCTTCGAAGTTGTCATTACTACTCCGTAATAATATTTCTTGTCGGGGGGCCAGTACATTTTCACCCCAACACCAGAGCGTAAAGTCTGAGTTTTATGTACAGTGTTGAGGTTTTTTGAATACACGACGTTAGTTGTACCGTCGTCCCACTTGACTAACACGTCCATGCTGCTTTGGTTAAGTTACTGCAATAAAAACAAACAGTTGTAATAACCATAGCAAAAGTTAACCCTAACCAACACAAAATCTATGGTTAGTTTGAAATAGTTTGCCTCATTTCGCGGACGTCATCTCAATAACTGACAGGCAGCCTCGACTTCGTTCATAACCTCACATTTCAACTATAAATGTCAGAAGCACCAAACCACAACGCATGTTTATCTCAAATAATATATTACTTTAAGTCAACAAAAATGTGCTTACCTTAAGTTTAGACTTTCAACTTTCACTTAAACATACACCTCACCATCTGTTATAACTGGGGATACCTAGACGTTCTAGAAAACCCGTAAACATGCAGGAGATGGCGCAACAGTATCGGTTATCACCATAGCCACCTAGAACTACGTTAGATATAGGTGGCTATGGTTATCACAGTTACATACTACGGGCGAAAGCGACACTAAAGCGCAATAGATGATGTGACAAACAGGCGTATGTCCATTTATGGATTTACGCCTCTTAGCCAGATTCCCTATCTTCCATTGATGTCGCTTCCGTCCTTACTGACTATGATGTTTACTCCGTGGTATGAGCGATGGAGATACGTCCATTTGTCAGAACATAGGTATACCCCTCGAGAGTTTCTCAGTGGTTTATCTCCTAGAGATTGTGTCGCTTACGCCCATTTGTCAGATCAGCGACGATATATATATATATATATATACCAAATATTCTCAGTTATTCGTCAGGATAGTCCGTTTTATCAACCACATTGTCAAATATCTGGTTAAATAGATAAATATAAATGAACCATTTCGCTATTATACAGGGTGACTTCGAAGTTGAGTCATTTATTTTACCAGTGAGTAGATCTGATCAAAAGAAATGTTTTTTTCCTTTACCATTTTTCTGGTAAAATTAAAGTAACAAAGTTATAGCCCTTTGGAAGTTTGAGTACCGCCCTGTCTCAATAACATCACGTGCTCGTGTTTGGCAACAACGGATATAATCCACCTTATCGGTTCATCGCATCGGAAACAAAAAAGCGAAAGAATTTGGAACGACGTTTTTACAATTATTTTATTCAGTTAAGTTATACATACAGTCAGTGTCAGTCGCGTGGGAATAGTGTCTGTTGCGTGGCTCAAACGAAATAAAAAATGGCACATGTTTATGCGGATCGGTTTCCCAATCGAGTGCAACCAACCCCTCGTGCCTTTGTTAATGTAGTACAACGGGCTCGTGAATCAGGTGACTTCAGACCTCACAGGGGACCTCACGATCAAATACAGGTCCGCACTGAAATACTTGTCGGGAGGATACTTTATAAAACAAGGTAAACATTTTTTTTTATTTTTTTTTTATTTTTACACACATATTTTGGTTTATCTTCCTTCTACAATCATTATCTGAAAATTAATGACTCAACTTCAAAGTATATTAACACCTTTTACAAAAATTAATTCGTACGCACATGGAACAATCCCTCTCCACCCCTCTGCTCAACGCAGCTGCCCTCGGTAACAGCGATGAGTCACTGCCAGGAATTTCGTACTTTTGGAAAATGTCGGAAGATCTGCCAAAAGAAAACTTTCCTCCTTGCTCTGACCTGGCCAGTTCAAAACTCGTAACAATAGAGCCTTTTGTGTCCGTATACCGGGTGATTCTCCAAGGTGACTCACCCCTATAACTTTTTTATTTTTTATTATTGAATATAGAAAACTGAAATTTCGAGGTTGCGTATTATAGATGAATTTACATTTTTTTTACATATTCACTTGCTTTGACGTACTTCCGGTTTGACCGGAAACGACTCCAGCTTTCGATTTTTAAATGGAAAATCCTATGTATTTTTACTGATTTCGATTGAGAATGATATCCTGTACCTAACAACGCATCACTTGTCAATTTTTGGCAAATAAAGTCATTTTTATTTTAATTTTTATTTTTCGATCTAGAATGCCATGGATCCTGTAAATCGCTTTATTTTTGATCAAGTAACAAGGGAGAAATACGATTTTGAAACCTTACAGTCGTTTTAAAGATTTTAGAAAAAATACAAACACTAACTTTTTCAAATGGGTTGTAGACAATACAAATTTTACTAAGTAAGATTTACCAGAACCGTTTAAAAATCCAGAGCACCCTGCGGGCCATAAAAATACACAGATGCATGCACAATATTCACTTCATGTCGTTTATGTATAGCGCATACTGTATTTGCATGCCGGGTCGGAGTTTGAACTCCCAACTCCCACCTAAATTAACGGTGAAGATCCTTTATAGCCTGGTAAGTATGCGAGTCACACGCCTCGACGCAACGCCACCCGTTACCGAGTAAAAACTCGGGAAATATAAATGCAAATGAATCTCCGCCTCAACTACTGGATGCAGTTGTACGGTATCTAGAGAAGTTGGTTTGTGCGGTAGACATTTTAATTGGTTGTAACTTAAGCTAGTCGTTCATTCATTAGCTCGTCTCCTACTAATATGCATGAGAAAAGTTTCGCATAGTAGTTGGTTTTTGCTACATAAAAAAGGAAGTATAAAAACGTGTAGAGGGACACTAGAAAAGAAATCTACCTAGCCATGAAAAGAACAAATTAAACGAACAACTATAATATGACAAATAATGTCAATTGTTCTAATCTTACTTTCAAAATTCAAATTAACTTTGATTAGCTTCCGATTTATAAAGTGAATTGTGAGAAAAAATGAGTAGCCCAAAATTATCGCAGTGTCATAAAACTTCTGACGAAAGAGGGCCATTAGCCGAAAACAATTCTTGAGAGAATGGTTGCCACCTTTGGAGATGATGCACGATTATATTACGCACTATTTTAGTAGAAACATTTTCGTTGAGGGCGTGAAGCCCTAGGAGACGAACCCAAAAATGGGAAGATCCAAAACAGCAACAAATAATGAAGAGACCCAACAAGTTGAAGCGGTGGTTATCGAAGATCGTCGTCTGAAGGTCTCTACCATCAGTATGTGATTGAATATATCGGAACCCAGCGAAATAACCGAAATGGACGACAATTTGGGCATGAGGAAAGTGCCAGCCAGGTGGGTTCCATGACTATTGACACCTGAACAAAAATTGCGCAGGATGAAAAGTCGAGAAAGTTATTCGGAAACTTTGACCAACAATTCTGACTCTTTGACTCAAATTGTGACGGACCACGAGACTTGGGTGCATTATTGAGATCGTGAAACAAAAACTGAATTTCAGCAGTAGGTTTGTGAGCTTATAACCCACCCCCCACCCAACCGAAAAAAAGCGCGCGGACGCAACTCTCTGCTGGAAAATTGAGGGGACATCATTGAATATATACCAGTCAGAACAACAATTAATGTGGACGTCTATGCGATCACCTCAAAAAATTTATGATTTTTTCAATCGAGAAGTGTTTCTGCTGCATGAGAATGCCATTGTGCATAAGACTGTCAAAATTAGACCAATTGTGCAGGAATGCAGATTTGTTGAGATAGGCCATCTTCCCTATGATCCGGTCGTTGCTATGTCTGACTTTTCTCTCTTAAGGTTTCTAAAGACAACTCTTCGAGGATGCCATTTTGATTCAGATGATGTTCTAAAAGCAGCCATCGATAAATTCTCTGAGAGTCAAGAAGAGACATTTTTTTAAGTGTATAACTTCGCTGGAAGAGAAATAGTGCAAGTGTATTGATGCAGAGAGGGGATTAGATTTAAAAATACAATTATAAAAAAATCGTACGTCTTTGTTTCATGGCTAGGTACATTTGCTTTCCAGTTCACCTCGGTTATATACTTACAATTAATAGTTCGTTTTTGCATGTTCGTGAGGTTCAATAACTCCTGGATCTTATCTTGTGGACAATCATACCCATTTCCATTTTAGGAAGAGCTTTTCCTGAAGAGCATATTCTGCAGCAATCGCTATCCTCGGTTATCTGAACAGATTAGTTGAGTATTCTTCAAGAACATTTTCCAAACCAAAATCTGATCATCACTACTATGCCTTGAATTAGACCCAGCTTGGAGTACTGTTCACATGTTTGGAGTGCTGTTACTGCGACAGCCAACCATGGACAGCTGATTCCTGCTTTTTAGCTACTCATCAGCATGGTCTAGCTATATAGTCAGTGACACATCAACGAGTGCTCCTCTACCTATATCGTTAAGATCTTGGTTCTTCTGAACTTTCTTTGTTGTGCATTTTATACCCGACATGTGGATCCATCAGACCTCTGCTTCTTATTTTAATTCGACTGTACTCTGCAGCTGGCTGGTACGACAGCACTTTTGTTCCCAGGATATCGAAAATGTGGTACAATCTCAAAGAAAAATCTAACTTCTAGCGCTAACCTGTTCAAAAATTGGTACGACCTTTTTTCACATAAGCTGGAGAGCCAGTCTGTATTCAGATTGTTTTGTCATGTTTTCCACCAACTGAAAACCGGTTTAATCATGTATAGCTCCAAGTACAATAATGTAATTTCTAAGGTAATGTTTGTATTTTAGGTGAATCTGAAGCTGCATATCCGCCTGCTGATAGTTTGGCTTCCGCAATCAGCTATCAAAGCACTACGAAATACAAAACACTTATTCCAATTAGGGTTCAGGCTGTTCGTATGTGCACAGAATCAGAAAGGAGATTGCATCTAATTGATTAGATACTGACTTTGCGGTTATATCCGACTTTGACCCATATAGTGTACAAATTTAAAACTTTTGTGTTACTACATTCTGTTTTCTTGTCAGCTACAAAATACCGATTTATCAATTCCACAGTCTCTCCTGGAAGGGTATCAAATGAAAGGACTTGATGAGGGAAACGCAATAAGCAAAGTGACGTCATTCTAAATCTAATATGGTGGTCGCCGCAAAATGGGGATTTGATGGACATGATAAATATTCAAGCGGTAATGAAACTCCTTTATCTCAAATTTTCAAAAAAAGCGTGCTGAGTTCTGACAGCAGTGTGGAACAAGGACGTGACATGCTTTGATTTGAAAATTTGGGCTGAAGGACCTCCATTACCGTTTCCTATATATTTCCTATCGGTGAAAATTTTTGAATTTTTAGTTCGCGTTTTATCAGCTATATACAAGCTTGTTTTGAAGAATGCAGCTTTGTATTTGTTCATTTAGTACTCGACAATTGTTTCATTAACTATGTTAACATCTTAAGGGGAGGATTAAAACTATTGTTAAATTTGCTGAGCCTGGGACAAACTTGATCTTGTAGAACAATTAAGCATAAATATCCTAGAATAAATTACTACCGTAGGAAAACCACCTTCATTACAACAGAGGAAATTAGAAGGATCACTTATGGATTTATATCATAGCCAGATGTTGTATGGTATTATCTTTTGGGGCAACTGAACGAACTGGCAAATAGTAGTAAAGTCAATTATTGTAGAAATAATTTTAAGAGGTGTATACATTTGAACTGTTCTCGCACTGTATATATTTCGCTGCTAGTTGTGGTATGGATAAAACAGATTACCGAGCTAAAAACTCATAAAGATGATCACTCCCATAATACTAGAAAAATGGATTTACTAAATATTTCTCAACGCAGCTGGGCCCTTACGCATAGGATTTATTTAACTATAGAAATAAGACTGCACAATCATCTTCCAGTCAGAATAAGAACGCTGATTTCGAGTGGAACTAAAAAATATTTTAATGTCTTTGTCTCCTCATACTATTGAAGAATTATTTGATTGTGATATAAGTGCATACTTACCTAGAACTTTGTAGTTGAATGTGTTGGTCCACTAAGTAAACAAGGGTAGGCAAAAATTGATATACAATTTTAGATAATCAACTTTATTGTATTTGTTTTTGTCAGGAATGAATTTTGAATATTGTGGTCCATCAATATGTCAATACTAAAACATGTAGGTATGCTTTAAGGAAATAAAAGAAAATCTATCTAATATATTTCAAGCTATGCTTACACCAGCACCAATAATACTTTTTGTTGTTCTGGTAACCCGGCAGGTTATTACGAAACTGTTCCAAGAAGTAAAACATAGAGTAAAATTAACGTTTCTGAGAACAGACAATCTATATGGGAAAGGTGAGCAATATCCGTAGGATCGAGGTGAGCAGTAAACATTCAAAAGGGTGCAGAGATAAATTACTTCGATTTATCAAGTATCTCCGAACAATGCTACTAATCCATCAATCCAGCTTCATTTTATTGATCTTGGTTCGTTCCTAAGGGATTCGGTCAAAATAGGCCAGTACTGGAGGCCATTGGGAATTGACATGAATTGCTGCTCAGGTTCATCGAATGTGTGTACTAAGAATAAATACAACGGTCAGGGCATAAGGAGCTTTTACTTCCCACATCACCGACTACATTATTTATGGTCGATACTTTTCTAGAGGAGGGCTGACCGACTGATCGATGACTCTTCTCTGACGATGAAGCCGCCGCGCGATGTTTCTGCCAGACAGACTCGCCTGAATTCGGCCTCCCATCCAATCGTGTCGAACTTCGTACATCCAAAACTGGCCCATACGACCGCTCCTTGGTCCCTATGGTATCGAGACTGTGGAACAATCCACATAATGAAGCTTTTCCTACTTCTACTTCTTTAAGCAGCCGCTATCAATGGGAAGCTAGCACCAGGTTTGTGATGTACCCGATTTACCAAACAAACGGATTTTGATCGATATTCCAGGGATGCAAAAATAAAAATTCCTCCTTTACTTGACTTAGAAGTTGCGTAATTCAAAATTTCCATGATTTTCTGCCCTGTCTACAAGTGAACTAAAATGATGAGAAGCCCTAGTTGTTGTAGCGAAATGAGATCTTGGGATATTCCGTCGAACCTAACTTTTTACATTTATCTCGATGTGTATCTTTGTTAGACGAGAACTTGCTCGTTCCTTTCTGAAAAAAATTCGAGAACCTGGGAAGACAAGCGAACCGGAATGAAAGATATTGATTACAAATAAAAATGCGGGAAGGTAAATTAGTTCTCTTGATTAAATCGGAGTAAATTTCTTTTTCGGAGAATGAATATTGAATATAAAAGAGATCAGGGATGAACTGATAAATTTAAACTGGGAACAGCATTATTTTTCTACAGAGTAATACAAGGTGAATTCAAAAATGTGACAATATTTCTGCTGTATAGAGAAACAAAGACAGTATTTTTGTTCTGGCGTGCGAGAGTGCTCACCCAGTACTTGAATATCCTCAAAAAAAAATGAACATCGGTACCTTCAGCCATAAGACCATGAGTCCGGTGCTCTTGTCACTCGAAATCAGCAAAACTTCTGGTCCGGACTTGATTCCTGCCATTGTATTGAAGAGATGTGCAGCGGAGCTTGCACCAGTTCCTTCGCATCTCTTCCAGATATCTTACTAATCTGGCGCATTCCCAGAAAACAAAAAATTTGCTCATGTCCAACACATACCAAAATAAAAGGATACAAGACTGACCCTTATAGCCACAATTCTTTTTATATTTGAAAGGAAACCGCGTCTACCACGTAGGGTTATTGGCGGCGTACGCCTTAATAAGAAATACAGTCAAGCTCTAAATAACGTCATACAATTAAATATTTCTAAGGAATCGCAATATAGTGTTGTAACCTGAGTCCAAGCATTTTGAGAAGTTGGGGTCCACTTTGCACTGAATTATTTGGTGTTGGTACATTGAACGCTGTACAAGCACATGTTCCAAAGATAGAGCAGCGTTGCAAGATGGGCAGGTAGGTGGGTCCTATTTTTTTAAAGAGGTAGTTGTTGCTCTTCTGCTTTCCGGGACATTGAGTTTGGTGCCGATTGAAGGCAGTATCCCACGAAGCTTGCTTGGTTTTACTCCCATTATATCTGCCACTGGTTATGCATGTATTTTTTGATAAGCGCTTTAAGATCGTGGTATGGAGTGGGATGCGTTACGGCTGTATTGTTAGTGGTTTAGCGCTGCTTGTATGGGCACCAGTTTTATCAGCTTTTCCGTTTCCTGGGGCCTCTGTGTGCGGTTATACCCCACAGGAATTTTATCGTTTTGCCTAAAGTGTATCCACATGTATAGCTCTGTTTTTTGTTATAAGTAAGGTGATGGGGAGGTACATAAATTGGGAGCTGCTGGAGTATATTGAACATCACGGGTTGATTAGTAACAAGCAATATCGTCTCCGGCGCCATCGGTCTACGGAGAACTTTATAGCTTATGTCACGCAACTGTGAAATAAACTCCTCCATCGGGTCATATGTCGTTGCTCTTGGTATCGCGAAACCATTCGATCAGATCAGATCATCCTATGGCCTACCAGAGGAGCTTTGCAGATGGATGGCTGACATCCTCTCCGACCGCAAGACATCCGTCCTAATTGACGGATTCTGTTCTTCAGCCCACAATGTCAACGCGGGTGCTCTCCAGGTATCGGTCTTGGCTCCGATATATAAACGACCTTGTCTCCTGACAGCACTCTACATGCAGAAATTCAGAGTGACAAGTCGATCTCTGCCGGTAAGCTAAAGAAAATAAAACTAGCAGCAACTTCTTCTCAGATGAGAGACCTGGAGGTTACCACTGCCTGGAGACGCAAGAATCTAACAGTTTGATGCTCCCAAAACGCAGCACTATACCTTGACAACAAGAAGTGCCCTAGCGCTCATCCGGTTTCGATGGATGCCTTATTTCTCAATAGCGGCAACTACCGGGAAAAGTTAGGCTATTTGTTTAGGGATAAGAGGTACTTTTCATGCTCGATGCTGTTCAAAGGAGGGTTGTCCAACTGATCGTTGACACTTCTCCAACAGACAGCCTCGTAAGCCTTTCGGGCACGCGGCGATCTAGATGTCATCTACCGCTACGTCAATGGGCTCTCCTCCATTATGCCGCCCTCGGTCTCCCATCGTAAACGTATCAAACTTCGCCTACCTAGAACTGGCGGATACGACCGCTCCTTCGTCTTGAGAATATCGAGATTGGGGAACAAACTACCCGAGGAGGCTTTTCCCAGTTCTACTGACCTAAGAGATCTCAAAAATCGAAACAACAGTTTCCCTAAGCTCCTCATAGCAGCCGCGGTACCCTGGTATTTAGGCTTCTACCCGCGCGGCTGCTTCGGTATATAAAAAAATGTACTCGGATTTATTAACTTGACACAAAATTATACACTAAATGTATGTCATGTTGGAAACAAACACTGCTTTCTCGACATAAATGCTTGACTCCTGCTGACAAAACACCACTGTATTTCTGCCACCCCCTTAACGAATACGTCAACTTTGGCTATTAACGACTGCTTCCTGAATCAGTAAAGAGGAAAAACTATAAAAAATGGAAGAAGCGAACGAGAAGTTTTAGATGAACGAAATGATGCTCCTAACTTTCCAAACTTCTTCTGCTTAAATCTACGCTCTCTTCCGGATACCTTTTAGACATCGAATTTTGCTATTAATTTAAAAACTCAGCGCGCGACCCGTCTCATAATTGAATGGAATTTTATCCATCCCTTGTTTTAGCAAGATGGATTTTGAAGCTATCTGGTTGAAGTAAAAGAACAATATTTTGAGAGGAGAATTGCAAGGTCTACATGGACTGAATGTGGTGACTTTTAATGTACAGTATATTTATGTTAGTACAACAACTTGAGATTTTTCGTATTGCACTGCCCACGTTTTGTATTCTATT